TGAAAGTAATGTCTTATTTGCTTTTACCACAGGAGACGGTTGTACAGTGTATTTATATGGCGTATATGGTTATAGTAATTCGAGAGTTAATTGTTGTAACGCATGGTGACATTTTCTCTGAGAGAGTTACCATTTTAATTTGTTTTGTTATTGTAGGAAGCAATGGAGGGTACAATTACCAGACTCCCAATGGCAACTACAACAATGGTGGGAATTATAATAATGGGAACAACTACAACAACAATGGCAACAACTATCAGTTCGGTTCCAACGCCCTGGACAACAGCTATAATAACTTCGGTTCTCGCAACGGTTACAATTCTAGAGTTCCGTCGCCCACGTATGGGCCTGCCTTCCATTGACTATAGTACAATTTGAATTGATTAGGTCCTAAGCATTAGGAGGGGAGGCGTTTTGTAATATTTGCTCCTTTTATAATAAAAATATTTTATACTTTCTTATTGCCATCTTTGAATTCCCCTACTCATGTACGAAATAGACAACTTTGGACAATATCATTTTTATCCCTCATGGTCAAAGTATACTTTGTAATACTTGCTCCTTTTATGTTAAAAATATTTTACACTTTCTTATTGCCATCTTTGATTTCCTTATTCCTGGTCAAAGTAGAGTATACTATATTGTTAAAACTATAATACATTATGTATTATTGTTCAAAATATAACGCAATTATGCTATTGTACATTATTGTAAAAAGTATAGTACTCGAAATTATTACACATTACTGCACAAAATATAGTACATATTGCAGTGTACAGTAATCACTACACTTTGTGAAAGTAGTTTCTCACTTTAATTTATGTAACAATATTCTGTGGTATTGAATGAGACTAGATTTCAATTTATAACTGATGCAACTCTAATATTTGTATGTTACCTAACTAGCTATATCCGATCAATCTCTTCCACTAACAATGTAAGGTGAACAAACTACGAAAATAATAATCAAGTAATCTAATTTATAAAGTAATGCAACTGTACATTTCTGCAGAACCTCTTCAAATTATCCCTGCCAAGAGCACATATGTTACCTAACTATCAATTCTAGCATAGTACTTACAGAATTGTTTCACTGACAAAGTAGTTCCAAATAGACAACTTTGGACAATATCATTTTTAACTTTCCTGATCACAATGTAGCATACTATATATGTATATTGTTCAAAATATGATACATTATTATATTATTGTACAAAGTATAATTCCCTAAATAATTGAACAAAGTACTGACTGTATTACGTTATTGCACATTTTGAGTGTCAGATTAAAATGAAGATGGATAGATGAATAAAGGAATAATAAGAATTGCAACTTTGTGCATGTGTTATGATCGTTTCACACGGCGTCTTCATTCCGCGTCCAGAACGTCGATGTTCCTCTCATCATCAGTCGCGTTCCAGTGTAACCGCTGACGTGTTTCATATCGAACTATGACCAAGTTGCACATATTATAGTGCATACGTTCGGTCGAACGCATTACCGGTTACGACACAGTTCTACGAAACCTTTTTCGCAACCTTACACCATCCGTGCTCACCCTCGCAATGAAACGCGTACGGTTACGCGCGGATCCGGGTGCCATTATTGTTACAGAATCACTGTTTCATTATTACGTCTTCATGATCCGACCATAAAACGTCTCAGCATTACGCTCTGCTTGTTACAACTCGAGAGATCTGGTTATAGCGAATCGTTTCCGAATCATTTCTCATTTCATTGCAACTTGAAACCTGGAAAACAAACTTGTAGAATCAGTTGGCAATTTAAAATTTGAAAATAAATTTCTGTAGAATGATTATTCAGTCGTTGCAACATAAGAGAAAAGCAAATTGGCATTGAATAACTTTTTAGACATTGCAACTTGAAATTTGAAAACAAATTTTCAAGGTTATATTGTATAATTATTATACAATATTGTATAATTATATTGTATAATTATTATTGTATAATTAATATATTATATTATAATATAATATATTATATAATTAGATACTTTTCATTTTTTACAACTTCACTTCGAAAGCT